CCTTTACCTTCCTGTATGTAAACCTCAGGCCTGTGGCCATCATAAATCCACTGTGTGTGGTACCAGGTCTGTGTCCATCAATCATAAATCCCTTGTATATGATCTCCGACCTTTATCCATCATTAATCTATTCCTGCCCCTAGTCCCCACAGCTGCCATGCCTCCACTCTGTTTACGACAGCAAAATATTGTCACATGATTCTAGGCTTAAATCTTATTTCTGTTTGCACATTCAAGTAGTCTCTCCCAAATTTTAAATCATATCATAGTGATAAATCACTTTGCATATATTTGCTAGTTTGCTGATCTGTTTTCTTTTCTCTTCTGTAAGCCATTTTGTAATTTCATTCATGATGATTGATATGTGTAGTTGCATCAACAAACACACACATCTGTATTTTTGTCACAATGGTAATATGCAAACAAGCTTCTTGTTAATTTTTAATTAATTTAACAAAATTTCTATATCCAATTTCCTCAGCAACACAGGGGTTATTTTCTAAGCTTTTTTTTTATTTTGATACTTTTTCAATAACTTTGATCATGGTCTGTTTGACATAATTCCCATTTGGATTGAAATTATAGAAAATTTTATAAAAATGTGCCAAATGTTGTACCAAAATGTTCATGTGAAAAATGATGCATTCTGCTATAAAAGGTAAAAATAGATTCTGTTTTGACAGATAACACTACATTGCATTTTTTAGCGAAATACCAACCTATTCAGCCACTTGGCAATCTGGATAAAAGATAACATGAAACATTACACACTTTAGTATATTTTCCTGATGTTTAATTTACCAATACCTTATAACATGTGTTTTCTTCTTTTCCCGAATACTTGCTTTGACATTTGCTTGGCCATAACTGATGAAATTATTGTATAGTCAAATTTAAAAGAGAATTTTGTGAATTTAGTATTTTTTAGTACTTTTGAGTGTTAGTTATAATGTTTCTAGTCTTGTATTCTTGCAATGACATTTTGTTGGTTGCTGACATTATAAACGTTTTATTACTCACAATTTTTCTGTCAAAATATTGATGCAACATTTTGCAACTTTGTAACTATTTTCTATTCCTACCTTTGACAGAAGCCAAGAAAGCTATAATCTTTTGCCACCAAAATGCTAATGCAACATTTTTGCATTTTTGATAATTTTGTTTTTTTTATTATATTTTTTTTTCACCAAATGAACATATTTTTCCATTGGAACAGGTCTTGATCAAAAGTATGAAATAAATTTGACAATATAATATGATAAAAGTTGATCTTGCCGTTAAGGTAAATCAGAGCTGTCATTTATTGTGACAAATTGTCCGTAATGACATACAGCTGTGTTGTGTTTTACACCATGGTGCATGGAAGTAGAATATGACAACTATACTTTTTTGTACATTTCATCTCTGCATTCCTGCATAATGATATGTAAATACTCCTGTTCATATCACCATGCATGTTTATATGCTGGCACCAGCAGCCTGCTTTGTGACATCTGGCTATACTTAGTATCGCTGCTTTGCATAACTGCCTCCATCTCACTGTTTTTCCATACTATGTCTCATGTTTGTCTCCTCCATGCTGCCTTCTTACAAAAAAATAGGATATTTTGTCTTTTATAGTGGTTATTCACTAATCACATTTCAAGGTAAGGTGTGTGGTTAACTAAGTCTAGTTAAGTTGTTTCTAATATTTTGAAATGTACACAGCTTATAATGTATGCGGATGCGCTATAATAGTACGTATACTCATAATGGTAAGAGGATTGCAGTTATAAGGTTAAACACCCTCCTCCAGTCACTCCTCTGGCTGTTTCAACATGAAATGCACAATTCATTTATGAAATAATAACTTATCAATATTGTATATTTTTCCTGGCTGTTGAAAAGTAACATTCAGTATTTATGCAATTCCACACCAAATAACATATCCCAGAATGCATGTATTGTAATTCCAAGTCAAATATCCAAATTGAGAGTTATTGTATTCTTTTCTGTTGTTGTCTCTAATATAACTACTTAGATAGTTTTACGTTTAATAACTTAATTAGCAAATCTAGTTTGTTAAACAGCAGAATATAATTCATTTTATGAAAATTCATCTGTTTGACTCGCTACGTATATCTATTATATTGACATATGGTGTACCAGTTTCTGTTGATTGTTATTCTGCCATACAAAAACATGACAGCGTGCCACGTTTTAATACTCTCCCTTCCCTTTTGTTTATTGATCAATAAATCACCAAATTGAACCTTTTTAATTGTTTGTAAGCATTGGATGAAATTTATTTATTTATTGGTTTTTATCCAGTGTAACAGCACCCACTTGGTGAAAGCTGCTGTCCAGGGTGCCCTGTATATTGTTGTCACAAAGGTTACAATTTGAGTGTCCTTCATAACAGTGAATCATTAGAAGCTGGCCATTCACCTCTAGCTGAAAAAAACAACAAATATGTGATTGGATTATTGATATATTGAGTTTTAATTTACATGAAAACTGATACAATAATGTTTATTCCAAGGTCATCAATCAATTCAACCATTTTTAAAAACTGTCATATGGTTCTTGTGCTGATTTTAATGCAGTAATTATTAACACTATTATTTTTGGTATGATATAGAATTTTGATTATCAGATATATTAAAACTCGCCTTCAGTATTTGAAATAAATGTACTACATGTATAATTGTTGAATAATTCTATTAAAGTCTGGCTAGTTGTCAAATATCTTCTTTATTATTTGTAGTGTCTGTATCTATGATATTAATATCACCATGGAGACAAGAAATGTCAGTATTAACAACTAAGATGTCTATTATTTATCACAAATAAGTAGAATACTCTATAGAATTAATTTGACTGGTGGATGAATACTATTGATTTGTCTGTTTGTTAACCTTTCGGTGTTACTGGTATTAAGTAAGATGATCCGCCATTGCAGCTTTGTGAAATTAAGTACCATTAGCGATGATTTTTTTTTTTGTAAGGGATCCCAGGGTTTTACTTACTCACTCACGCAATTACAAGAAGTGTTGCATACACCTCTTGAACTAAAACTTTTGCACTGAAATTTGAGAGTGCCCAAAAACACGTATAGCCAACATTCAGCTTAATAAACATCATGATATTTTACAAATTTTATAATATACTACAGTAAACCCTTATGTCGAACATTTTCATAGAATAATTCATAGTCGGTAGTTGTCCATTGGTGACTAGTGAAGGGTTGGCAAAAGCCCAGACAATGAATGAATATATAATTTCTAAGAAGAAAGCATTGAAAGATTTCTAGTGACAGCCGATATAATTATTAACACTTGCAGTATTGCTTTGAAAGTTACATTACATGTTTTTAAAGTAGTGTTATGTACATGTATGTCTTGTAAATTAGTCTATATTATTAATATTTGATACACTGACCATGAGATCACTACCACAAGTAATTTTTACATAAAAATAATCACCTATGTCTTATCAGATGAAGACAGATTCCATGCATGCTGGAGGTTCAATTTGGTTTTCACAAGAATGTCGCAAAGGCTGCAGAAAAGCTGTACAGCAATCTTATTGATCATTGCATAGTGGAGAACAATGCAATCCTGTACTGCCTTTGTGTAAAGTTTGCGGTATTCTTGTGATTATCTTTTTATTATTATACACCTGTTTCCTACTTGTAGTAATAATCTAATGAGAGATATCCACCTGAAATGACACAATAGTAATTCTGTGTTTGATGTGAACAAAAATGTTCAACGTTGGTGAGGTAAATTTTTCAATGAATGAACATTGTGTAAATCTGTCTTTTTACGAACCACTAAATTCGTGCGTTTTCTGTGCTAGATAGATGTTCAGAACTTTTTGTATTTTACCAATAATAATTGTCATCTATTCTGTACTTGTGTTTGTATTCGTATATCATTTTTCTCTTCCATCCCATCTTTAATTATCTTTGTTGTCACTGTTATAACATGCACATACATTAGAACTGTCTGACCACGGCTAAATTTTATTCATATAAATAAATGCATATTTGAGGTTCACCTGGACCAGTTTTTTCTCTATCTCCAATATCTACTGAAATGCTTTTCTGTTCCACTGTACATTGTGTGTATGTTGTGACACAAGCTTTAATAATAATAGGGCATGTGATTGAAATATGTGCATATCATGTATCCATATGAGATCTCTCATTGATGAACAACCATCAATGATAATATTCTTCAACTGGATTGTATTTGGTCATACTTCATGTCATACTTTGGACAGACATAAATATGGGCTCCGTCTTCTATGAATATTCTAGTATATATAACTAAGCAAAATCTTGTGATTGTGACTTACAAATAGCAATGGAGCCATGCAGTTTTATGTCACGATGACATCACACTGGGCTGTGTTTATTATTTTCTGATTTTATTTAAAATTTGAAAATTACCATAATGCACGCTACTCAGTCTGGCCATGTAATGTACTTGAGTCTGTGTGATGAGGGTTGTTCACTAATGATAGATCTTGATGTCATCCAAGTGTTGTATTGTAATCTGTGGTTTTCTTTGCCTCCTTGCTGGGTGATGTGCTAACACTGATGGCATATAGAGGTCAAGAAGGAAGTAATCAATGATGGTACACTATTATCAATATATATTTTTTTCCTCTGTACTGTTCACTTCATTCTGCATGTTCCTATTGTAGTATTATCTTTAACCTTTTTCTTGGTACAACTTACAAAATACTTTTTTGCAAATTAAAAAAATAGCTGAAAGATTTCATACTGTGAAATACTTTATTTTAGCTGGAATTAAATTTTACTGAAAAGGCGTTTTGGATGATTTGTATGAAGTTTATTTTCACTGATTTCCGATGAGTTAAATGTGAAATATAGGAAAAAAGATATATACGCCGGATTTCATTTTCGCAGAATCATCCCTTCAGCGAAAATTAAGTATTTTACAGTAACATTATTTAGCAAAAATCTGTGAAAAACAGCCTGGCAAGTTCTAGATAAAGGAAAGTCCTATTATTCCCATGACATTTAATTCTTTGAACACCATATTACTTTCCGCCAACACTTTTATACAATATAATTTCCTTGTTGATTTTTTTTTTTTAAATATGAAAAAATATTGTGCGAGTTCTTCTGTAAAAGGGTTGAAAGTTGACTTAAGTCACCTTTTGCAAAATCAAATTTTTTTCATATTTTTTGAGAAATTTTAAAGAAGACCTGTAGCCAATAGTTTTTTATATCCATTCCATTCAAAATTATCAAAAGGAAATAAACTTATTTTTTTATTTATTTTTCAAAATTTCAATCAGGATCTATAATTCTGTGATTTGGTTTAGAGTTATCAAAAAAATGCATAAAAACTGGCAAATGTTGCACCAAATCTTTGGCAGGAAAAATGATAGAGTTGAAAGAAAACAAATAAATATTTGTGCGCAATATGAATATGTGGATAGCTTCCTATCAAAATATGATTCATAATTCTGTGTGAACTAGTTGGCTTAAAAGGTTAAAACAAATAAATGCTATTAGAAATATCATCTCATAGTGCTGTAATATACTGGGTACAAGTATCTATTCCAGTGAGGGAAAATAATCGCTGTCAATGTGAACACAGATAAAATTACATACCGTAGAAACATTTGGGAGTGAAATCTAAAACATTTCACCAGTATGGCATGGCATGATTTATATTACTCAGGCTTGCATATCATTTCCTATGTCCATATTATTAGAGGTTTAAGGGTATAAACATATTAATTATCGGGATTAACTTTTAGTCTAGTCTGACTTAAATATTAGTGAGCTTCTTGAATTCTATCTGGTATTTAAACTCAAACTTTTTAAATTTAGTTGCTCTTAAATATATACTGACAGCCAAGTTTGTCAAGTTTGTCTTCGTCATGCTTGCTTCTTCTCATCTATCTGTTACATTATAATTGGTAAATATTTATCATTATTTAAAATTACAGTCACATCACCAGTTTGTATTTGAAATGTGGCTTTTATAAAGACTGATAAATTTTTGGATTATAATATTATAGGTAGATGAAAATCACTTCATTGCTGTCAGTATGTTCATGTTTTTTCAAATTTTTAGTTTCACAATTAGTTTCTATGTATGTGTTCAGTGATCATGTTTTCTATTGTGAGGCTAACATGAGCACTAACATGTAATTTGTGGATTTTACACCGAGCAAATAGCAATCTGAGATCTGTCTGATGTCAATTTCACCAGTCATCACTGTCTTTGTTTGCATTGCACCCCTCAGCCAATCAGGATGCCGTAAGCACAAAGAGAAAAAAGTTGGATTACGAGGAGATAACACCATGTCTGCGAGAGATAACCAGTGTGTGGGATGATATGATTCAGTCTGCTGAAACCACAAATACCAAATATGATTATGAAAAATTGCTACAGTGTGTTAAACAAGGTAAGGAGTCATTGCCTCTAATTAATGTTTATATACAGCACCCTCTTTATATCTATTAATTTTGTTGTTGTTTATTCTCACTGCTATTAGCCAATAGCATCACATATCATAACATTATGGCTGATACATTGTAGTTCTGACTCATTACTTTATAACTGTGTCATAAATTGTCACTTTTACTTTGACTGTATCATCATAGATGAAGAGATATGAGGGGAAAATGTCAGGTGTAAACATTTTACTTGTACTTACAACAACTCAACAGTCTTTATCCAATCTTTTTGAAATCTCGTTATAATATTCAACTGTATTGGATCTTGATTTTTGCATGTTTAAAAATATTGATAAAAATGTATTTTAAAATTGAACATTTTCCCAGATATACATGCAAATTTGGCTCAAATAAATTATTCGGTAAACATGAGCAGAGATTTAAGCTATTTGCACTACTGATCGTGACATCCAGGGATTATTAATATTTTCTCTGAGATCAGTTACTAGATAGTGTGGTAACCCGATATATTGTTTATATGTTCCTGAAAACATGCTAGTCTATATTATTCCTGCTAAAATTGTGCTTGGATATATTGCTGTAGGTTTATGTTTCATGCAAGGCATTTTATATGTTATTGTATAAGGCACCTCAAGATTAATATAGTATAATACAGACCCGCCAGAAAGTATTTACGCACCTGTCATTTGATCGTTTTCGTTACTGAAAATAATAATTCCGGGTAACATGATGTGTTGACTTTAAAATATATTAAATTTAAGAAGAACTAGTGCATTTTAGTCAAAATAAAATGGTTGATTTGTGTTTAGTTTTTTTGTATGTAGACGTTTTTTCAGTGAGCGAAAATCGCCATGGTTAACTCTATGGGAGCGCGCTTATTTGCACATCATTTGCATCTCATTAAAACTTCGCGCCATAAAACATGTGCGATAGTCGTGTCTATTCTCATGCAAATTTGAACCAATTGGGAAGCTGAAATTATTTCAACACGCGCTTCTGGGCAAGAATACCTGTCAGTTGTAGTTCATGAATATTCCTATCGAGATCATAGTGTTAGATACGTAATTTTTATTTACAAACATTGAGCCATGCCGAAAGTTAGGGAATTGTCAGAATTTACCAAAGGGAACATTGAAGCACTGTTTACAGAAGGAGTTTCTAACAGGGAAATAGCAAGAAGACTGGGAATTTCTGAAGGCTCCATACGTTTCAACCCACGAAAACTTCGTCTGCGAGGTAGTATGGGCAATCGTCGTCGATCAGGTCGACCAAGGCGTACAATGCAACGCGAAGACCGGCTACTCATCCAGTCTAGTTTAGCAAATTGGTTTCACACCGCCCGTGATTTGCGTGCCAATTTTAATCAACTCACTGGAAAAAGATTGAGTTTGAGCACTATAAAATCAAGACTATATAAGGATGGTTATCTTTGCGGCTGTGTTGCTAAAAAGAAACCAAAACTACAACCTCGACACATCGCAGCGCGGTTGCAATTTGCCAGGCAACACATCGACTGGACTCCGGCACAGTGGGCTCAAGTTATCTGGTTGGACGAATCTAAGTTTACGGTGTTTCGTAGCCGTGGAAGATTATTTGTACGCCGGAGACCAGGTGAAGAGTACAAGATGAAATGCATTAAACCTACAATAAAATTTGGTGGTGGAAGCGTCATGGTGTGGGGATGTTTTTCGGCTACCGGCTTAGGGTCGCTAGTTCGTGTACCGACGACCATCCATGAACCGATGGAAATATTTGGATATCCTACAAAACGAAATGATACCGTCGGCACTAAGACTCGTTAGACCCAATTTTCATTTCCAACAGGATAATGCCCGCGTTCACACAGCATTGACAGGGAGGGATTTTCTAAATAATCCACAAGAGTACGTATATTTTTTCGACAACTTTACCACTTTGAATTGGCCTGCACAGTCTCCAGATTTGAACCCTATTGAGAACCTTTGGGAGTTGATCGATTTAGAGGTGCATTCCCAACCAGTTGCTAACATCGAGGATTTATACACGAGTATAATGGAAGCTTGTGGACAGTTCCAGGTGAACATGTGTCGGAAACTCGTCGATACCATGCCAAAACGGCTCAGAGAAGTCATTCAGCGAAGAGGTGGAGACACGCATTATTGACAATCGCCACGTTCTATCTCTCATGAATATTCATGAGCTTGCATTTAAACGGTATTCTCCGTAGAGAATTCGAACGTTTTTTCACTGTTTCGTTTAGACTGCCGGTTTTTATTGAATCTTGCATGACAATGACAATTTTGTTGTTTTTATTGTGTGTAAAAACGCCTATTTTATTAGATATTTAAATATATTTATTCAAATCGTTATTAGTCCCCGTTCGGACGCAGTCCGAAAACAGGGACTTATGTTTTGACCTCTGTGTGTCCGTGTGTGTGTGCGTGCGTGCGTGCGTCTGTGCGTGCGTCCGGACCTGTATCTTAGAAATGCCTCGACCAATCACAATCAAACTTCACACATACATCATACATGATATTATGCATATGCACGTCAATTTGTTTCACGATCTGATTCAAGATGGCCGAATGGCGGCCATTTTTGTGCTAAAAATCATCAAAATCAAGCATTTCTCGGCTGTTTACAGATGGATTTTGTTCAAACAGGTTCCTGATGCACATCATTTATTTTTCAGATCGGATTCAAATGGCTGTCTGGCGGCCATTTTGTTTTAATGAATGGGCTTCTAGACCC